CAGCTGAGGATCCCTTCGGCTGCTCCTGTGGCTTCGTGGTGGGGCAAGAGTGTTAAGGGGTCCTGCAAACATCTAGAGACGATCTAGCCGTGATGCTCTGCTGCCCCCCCCCCGGCCAGCACAGCGACCTGTAGGCTGACCCCACAGGCCAAAATGGGTGTGCGCACCTTGGAGGATGCTTGGGAATTCTAGGTGTGCTCTGTGAGTGTGTAAAAATATTAAGCTATTGCAGGGTGGTGGTTTTCTGGCCATCTTTCCCCCACATCCCTGGTGGACTGGAGGTGGCTAGTAGGTCTCAGGTTGGGCGGTGCTGGTGGAGAATGGCTGCGGCGCTGGGTGCAAAAGATGGCAAGAAAGAGAGAGAGGGAGGAAATGGCTGTCGTTTAACAGAGATCCTTCCCTGCCTAGGCTGCGGCTCAGACCAAGCGGAACGAAATCCCTACCTGCGATGAACAGCTTGCCTCCCCTCCGGGCTGCTGCCCTGCCCCGCTGGCCGTGTGTGTCCCTGGGAGGGGTTGGGGACCCCTTTTTGGAAAGGGGGGGCTCAGCCCATGCCGGCGGTTTCTGTGCTTTGTGCTTAGGAAGCCAACCTGGAGCAGGTTCACCTGGCGCTGAAGGCCAAGTGCTCCCCCGGCGACCTGGACACCCTGGTGGCTCAGTTGATTGATGAGCTCATCGCCGACTGCAGGTATTCCCGGGCGGGCGGGCGAGGAGGCGGCCGGTCGGCCGGTGGGTCTGGGCCACGGGTCTTTCTCAGTGGGGTTTATTACAGGCCTGTTTGTTTGGCTTGGATGGTGGCCCGGGTGGTGAAGAATGCCGTCCATTGGCGAGCCCTCGCCGTGAAGGTTGTGGAGCCAAGGCACGGAGTGGAAAAGGTGATATTTAAGGCAGGTCATAAATTTCCACTCGGCTGGCCCCAGCCGACCTGAATGGGCCTCATTGTGTTTTGGGGGCGAGCCGTTCTCACAGGCTCCCCTCCCTCCCCGATGGGATCTCCCGGCGCGGTGGGTGGAAGGGCCTCCGGGCTCACGGTTTTAATTGTTAGCAATCGTTCATCCCTTGCCTTGAGTCCCACGATGGTCCTCTGCCAAAACGGAGGCGTTCCTCTTCGTCGTCGGCCTTCGTAACAACGCTGTGTGGCGCATTAGGATCCTCCCCCACCTTGACCGATGGGGAACGTTTTCAAGTTCCCAGTGAGCGTGCCTTGCCCCCCTAAGCTCCCGAAGATCCTCCACAGGCGCAGAGGGCTGATGCATCCCGCTTCCCGGAGTTTTTGTAGCTTGTGCGCGGAGGGCTGGGGCAATGTGGCTGGGCTACAGCCAGAGACATCCCACAAGGGAGAAGGATTAGCTCATGTGCAATCAGATGCGAAACAGTGCTCAGAATATCAGCGGCAAGTCTGTGCCAGGCGCACCGGTCTCTCACCTTTTGAGCGCAGAAAGAGCATGAGAAAGAGCTTCCACACAGAAGGCCTCCCAAGGAGCCCTGGAGTTTTCTCTCTGACACCCCCACCCATTGCTCTTCCTCTCACTGGGCTTTATAGCCTTTCTATTAAGTGGTGTGGACCATGTCTCCTTTGATTGCCTCTATAGAGAGACCGCCACTGAAGCACACATAGACAGGCAGGTCAGGAGATAAGGATAACACTTGCTATCCTCCCCCCCTCCCCAATTCATTATGCTTCTTGTTGGAATATCACACCAGTGCTTGAAACAAATGATCTGAACTGGAGTTGAAGGCAATAGGCAGATGGGCAGCCTCGGTGATTGTCCCCCCAACCACTTACCTTTTTTAGATCTACAGGTAGATTGATATTCTTAAAGTTCTTCCTTCCTCCTGTCTACAAATTTCACTTTCTTGATATTCATTCATTCAATTTGTGTATCACCCCATGAGTGCAAGCACTACACTGTGTGGTTTACACAGAATTAAGACTCAGTGCCTCACAGTCACAAAATGACGACGACAACAACAATAACGGTTAATGAGCCAGAGACAGAGTTGAAAGTATGAGTGTCAAGTCTAAGGGCTTCTGTAAAAGTTTGGCGATTTCTTTCTCCCCTCCAGTAGCCACACCTGGTTTCCTAAACCTATAAGTGGTCCGTCCTGCGTTTGCCTTTCTGCCCTTCTCCAGAGGGCTCAGTTGTCCTCAGCTATCCTAAGCACAGTACTAACTGGTAACTCCCTGCCACTGACTAAGAAAGGATCCTAAAACTTTTTGCTCCCCCCACCCCAAAAAAAGAGCGTTCACATCTGTGTGCTTTGCTTTGTTCATTGGGAATTAAGCCTGGGGGGTTCCTTCGAAGCCTGCCAACGGTGGAGATTGTCCTGAATGGTGTCTCTCCAACACGCGTTCCATGCTCTTGAAAGCCTCTGGAGGACGTCGGTTTCCATCCCTGGAGGGCAGGCTGAGTGAACCTAAAAGCAAACCCCCTTTGACGGGTTTGGTGTCAAGGGGTTGGAGAAGTGACCTCTTTTGGAGGCCCATGGGGCAGATTACGGGAATAGTCATCCGGGAAGTCACTTTTCTCTTCTCTGAGCTCTGCTGGGTGGCTTGGCGAGCAGGCTAGCCTGAGGCGAGCAGGAAGCCGGTGGCACGTTTGGACCCCCTCCGCCTGCTGCGGTGCGGCCAGTGTGCCGGCTGGCTGGCTGGCTGGCTGGCGATTTCTTTCCAGCCCCTGTTTACTACTCTTCCAGCGCGCCGGGACGGAGCCGGCTCAGTTCCTTTCCCCGCTGGCTCTTTGCGCGCTGGCTCCCCCTCCCCGGTGCCCACCTCTCCCCTTCCAGGGCTGGTTTGTTTAGGGAATGTCAGAGCGGTTCCTGAGGCCATAAATATGACCTGGCTTCTGTGTGTGCCATACGTGACCCGGGGCAGGTCCTGGGGCTTGGGTTTCCCGGAGGGAAGGTGCCTTCCAAGGAAAACGAAGCTAATTGGCTGGGGAGGGGGGGGGGCTCTGAAGCTGCCAAGCTATGTGTGTGTGTGTGTGTGTGTGTGTGCATTGCATGCACTGGGGTGGGCTTCTTTCCACCTCGCTTCTGGTAAACGGCCTTCTGTGGGGACGGCAGGAGGGGGTGTATGTGAGAGGCATCAGCAAGCAAGAGGAACCATCTGCGGGGAAGAAGATGAAACCTTAGGATGATGAGGGGCCGGGACAGTGACCTGGTGAAGGCTCCAGCCATTGGGAGCAATTTGCAAAGAACAGAGTTTGCTCTGTGTCTGAGTAAACAAGAGCGGGACACGGCTGCCAACGCTTTCTTAATTAATCCGTTTGATTGAGTTTCAACTGGTGCACTGGGCAATTAAATGCACACGAGGAAAATGATGGTTCCCCACCCCCACCCCTTTTGCATTTATTGCTTCTTGCCATAGATACCATTTTGGTATGACCCTGCAACTTCTGAAGTACTGGGACTATAACTCCCAGTGTCCTCACCCAGGTGGCCAGTATGTAGCTGGGGATCTTGGGAGCTGTAGTCCAACAGATGGGCCCCAACCAGCTGGGGAAAGCTAAGAGACTTTCCTTTCAGTGTCTGAAAGACTCTCCCCCCTCCATGTGCATGCAATGCCTCTAAAGCGCAGCTTGCCATTGTTACAGAGCAGGCTTTTGGGGGGGGGTGTTAACAGCTTCGATGAAAAATAATCCACATTTTTAAAAAGAAATGCGTACAGTCAGTTCCAAACCCTACAGATGCTGAAAAATGCAGAAGTGTAGAAGGCCATCCATTGCAAGGTCTCTAGCTCCCTCGAGTGTCCAGTTCTCCTAAATACGCCCTGGAAATATGTGTTTCTGAGGGTTTTTAAAAAGTATTTTCAAGCAGTGAATAAGTGAATCGGCAGATACAGATTCCATCGATAGGGAGATCCTACTGTATTGCCAATTCTTAATTCTTGGAAACCAGTGGACCTGTCTTGGTAAGAACTTTTAAAACAGCGGTTGGATGGCTGCGGATCAGGGTGGTTCTAGCTGTAGATTTCTCCCTTTACCACAAGGAAGTTAGATTAGATGACCTTAAAGGTCCCCTCTACCTCTCTAGTTCTGTGATTAATCACAGGGTAAGACTAGAGGGGTAGAAGGTAGGCAAGCCCGTCCAAGGGACACTTGTAATAAAAACAGCGATGTGGTCCCTTGGAGACGAACACTTTTCTAAGAAACTGCACCAGTCTGCTTCCTCTCCCCAAAGCATTCGCTTGAGCTTTTGATAGCTTTTAAAAAATGTCCATAAGACAGTGGAACCCCTTCCCTCGAGAGGTGGTGAACGCTCCAACATTGGAGAGAAATTGAGACAACCATCCGGCAGATAGACTTTGATTAGTCGTCCTGCCTCAAGCAGGGGGTTGGACTGGATGGCCTTAGAGGCCCCCTTCCCCGACTTCACTGTTGTACGATTCTGTGATTCTGTGCCTGTGAGCTTTGCTCCGGATGGGTCGTAAGCTGCTTGGCCTCAGGCAGTGAAATGTCTTGAGCCTGCCCTGGACGAGATAAGTGTCATTGGCGGCATGCCGTCCGCCTTTGGTTATCCGATGGCTCTGCTAGGTGGGTCGGTGGGAAGGGGATTCGGTCCAGTTCGGGGGGAGCGAAAGTCAAACACATACTCTCCCGGGGGTGGGGAGGTGGGGGGAGAGAACGAAACCCAAGAAGTACAAACGCTCTCCAGGCTGAGGGTGATTCAGTCCATTCATGGAAAAATAAACACCCCCTTGTGTTCCACAACATCTCCAAACACCCAAACGCTGAGAGGTTATTTTGTGCTCACGGAGAACACGGTGTTTGTTTTTCCTGGAGCGAACTGGCTCAGGGTAAACCTGGAGGGGGAAAAAAAAAAGCAGCACAGCCTGCCTTTCAGAGTGGCCTGTGGCGCTGGGGATGAGCCCGACCCCCTCTCGCTGGGCGGTGGGTTTGGCAAAGCGACTCCTTAACGTGGGGTTGCCCTCGGTGGCCTTCAGGAAGAGCAACCCTCCGATCTGAGGGATCAGATTCGGAACTGACATTTTGCACATCCCAGATATTCAACATTCACAGAACTCCCGAACAGATGTTTGTTTTCGGCCAAGCACGGGATGCAGGGATCCCGGGGGCAAAACACCATATATATATATATAAAAAGCCCTTCCCTGTCTCCAAAAGGTATTGGGGACGAGCTGTGCCTTTTGCAAGCTTGGAAAAAGTCACCCCCCCTTTTTTTTTTGGACAAGAGCTCCACGTGCCCTTAGTCAGTACAGCCATAACTTTGATAGGTTCTGATCAGATTCCCGGAAAGGCTTGCAGGCTTGCGAAGGATTCTGGTTCATGTGCATGGGAAAACCTGCACACACACACACACATTTCATGCCTGTTGGGTTTTACCATCTCCATTTGCATACAGTGAGGATGCCTCACTGCAAAGGAGGAAGGAAGAGAGCCTGACAGTTGAAATCTGCCTGTAGATCTGGAAAGAACCTGAGCTGTTTCTCTGCCTGTTGCCCTCTGAAGTTGGTGCTGATCCTTTGGGACAGGTAGCGGTGTTCTGTGGGGCAGCAGGAGGTCCATCTATTAGGCTGGCTTACTCTAGACCAGTACAAAATCCAAACAAGTGGATGACAAGAGGAGAGTTGGAGGAAGAGGAGCAGGAAATACCAGAGGTCTGCCTTCAACGGCACATCCAGTGGATAGCCTGTGTGTGTGTGTGTGTTTTGTTCTCTGATATGGTGTAGACCGAAGCGAGTGTTGGCTTAGGACCGAGAAAATCCAGGTTAAAGTCTCCACCTCGCTAGCAAACCCTCTGGCGCCTTTGGAGCGGTCACCATAAGGCCATCTACCTCACAGGGTTGTTGTGTGTTTAAAAGTGGGGGAGAGGCCTGTGCACTTGAGCTGGGAGGCATGGCGGTGTGGTCTGACGCGGGGTCTCCTTACGTCCTCGCCCTTCCCAGCCAGCCCCTCGTCGATGTCACCCAGAAGCCCACAGGCACCCACCTGGACCACTACCTGTACCGCTTCCGGACCACCAACCTCCACCAGATCATCCAGGCGGCGCTGAGGGTGAAGCACGAGGACTCGGACCTGATGGTGGTGCTGGACCAGGCAGAGGACTGGCTCGCTCGGCTAAGAGCCATGGCGGAGGAGGTAAAGCCCTTGCCCTTCTGTGCCAGGGAGAGAGAGAGAGAGAGAGAGAGAGAGAAAGGTCCGCCTGGGTCCTCTGGCCCGTCGCTTGCTTTCTTATTTTTTAATGATTGCACAGCCGCTCCGTGAAAAAAAGCCCCCCCACCGCCGAGGCTCCGTGTGTGAAGGCTCCACCCTCCGTTGAAAGGGCCAGCCAGACAAAATCTGATGCGTAGCAAAAAGGGCCAGAATGAGGGAGCGATTGGGGACGTTGAAGGGGCCCGTCCTCTACGATGGGCAGGACTTTGATGGGAGCTGCAGGAAGCCCCGAGGTCTTTCTCCGGGCCCTCTCTTGCAGATTCGTGCAAGATATGAGTTGTGTTCAAATTATACAAATTATTTCTCATTTTCACCTATAAATATATAAATCAGTATAAGCTGTTTCATGCACAACAGTGGGTTGTTGTTTTTTTGAGGCAGGGGCAGGGAAGTCTTCCTTTCTGGCCAGGTCTTTCCCTGTTCTGGATCATTTGCAAATGGCCATCTTGGTCCTGATGCGGATTTTGGCCTGTCTCAACATAATGGGCTGTCATTTTTGCCATTTTGTGCTCCCCTCCCCAAGCTGACCTCCTGCTCCTCTTCGGGATCTCCTCTCTTTGGATGGAGCCGGCTCAGACCTTTGGCCGTTCCTCCCTGCCTCCCCCAATCCCTGACCCCCTTTCCTTCGGGGGGGGGGCTGGGACGCTTGGGCCACCGGCTGGCCAGTCATTCTTCCCCACCTGTGTCTTCCAGCCACAGAACAGCCTGCCTGACATCGTGATCTGGATGCTGCAGGGAGACCGGAGGGTGGCTTACAGCCGGATCCCCGCGCGGGAGGTCCTTTTCTCCCGGAATGGAGCCGAAAGCTGTGGCAAGAACTGTGGGAAACTCCAGACGATTTTCCTGAAAGTAGGTCTCATCGACGCCCGCTCTTTGGAAAACATGCTCGACACACTTAGGGGTGGAACAAAGAGGGGAGGAGAAGCTCTAAAGATTTTGCCAGATTTTTCGTCTTAAGCGGTTCTCCTCTCCTCTCAGGCACTACGGCGTTTAATCACATGCCAGATTTGCAGGGCATGCAATTAAAAATTTGCAGAATGGCTCAGCCCAGCTATTATTGATTTACAGGGTGGGGTTGGGAAAGATGGACCCCAAACTCATTTACTGGCAGAAAAAAAAAAAGAGAGACAAGTCTTAGAAACTAGAAGTCCTCAGTCTGTAGACTTAGGAGGGGAGAAACCTAGGTTTCCTTAAGTTTGTAGGCCACCTTGAGTACTCTCTTTTAGTGGCAATAATCATGTGCCAGCAAACCAATTCTGAGTTAAGGAGACCCCTTTTCAGGGATTTCTAGGTAGAGAAGACGCAGGAGCCGTTTCCCTCTAACCCTTCTTCCGGTGGGTGCCCTGGGATCGCTATGCTGTCCGGCTCAAGGCCACCCAGGCTGGCTCTACTCACAGGGAGGCACAGGGAGGAATCAAACCCCTGACCTCTGGCTCTCCAGCCACGAAGCTAACTCACGAAGCTATCCAAGCGGCTTTAGCGGAGAGGCAAGATATAAATGTAATGAATATTGTTGCCACTAATAGTAACTGAGGTCTTACAAAGTTTGCTAAATATTTGTGTGATATTTATGGATGATTTATTAAAAGCTTTTGTAAACTCCCCTTCATCTGTACAAGTGCCAAGTGGTGTAGAATGGTAGAGAAGCGCTACAAATGTTAATCAAGCTGGACAATGCAATAAAAACGAAATGCCATCCTTGCCCAGAATCCTATTGCCAAGGTATACTTGTGGAAGGGAAAAATAGCTCAACCTTTGGCAGCAACTTGCCTCTTGTTCACAAGGTGCTGCTCTTGTTCCCGGGTGGCTGGATCCGCCACTGAGCTTTAACATGATTTCCCTCGCACAATTCAACGTAGGTGAGCGATAGCCTTTCAAAGGTGGCGAGAACAGGAAGACTATTTAAAATTGCCAGACAAACAGAAAATCAATGGCTTAACTGGAGAAATTAAGCCACGAATCTGAAAAAAGGTCCACAAACGATGTTTCTTTGCACTGAGAATTACAGCCATGGAAGCTGTTCCTGCTTGTAAGCAGACTGTCTGCCATCTTTCTGCAAGCTGTTCTTCCTAATTTTTTTTCTTTACTTCGATCTCTGCACCTCCGCCTTTGATAGACGCTATAAACATATCGGACATCATTTTATCAGACCAGTCGCACTAGGAAAGCAGGGTGTGGCTTGATCTTGAGTCAGCCCCTCCGTCCATCTCACCCAGTATTCCCAGTTCTGGTTGGCAGCACCAGTAAGAGCTCCCTCGAGTTTTGGGCAGGATCCTTGTGGGTCTCCTGCCATGGTGCAAGCAAGGCTGCTTGGCTTCCGAAATGAGAGGAAACCAGGTGTGTTGAGGGAGAGTCAGAGGGATCCTCTCCTTCCTTCAGAGAAGGCCTGGTGATTTCCATCAAGGGCAAAGTGACGGGTTAAGCTAAGCTTGGATCTACCCACTCTCCACCTGCTCATGCTGGATGTACCTGAAATGCCATCCTTGCTGGTTCGATCAGTCTCTGGATTCCCCCCCCTTCTGTCCTAGCATCCTCAGGAAGATGTCCCGGGGCCGAAGATCCGAGCCCAGATCCGGGTCCAGCTGTGGCTTGGGCTAGCTGTGGATGAGAAGGAGTTCAACAAGTCTGTAGAGGGGAGACTCTCCGTGTTTGCTGAAACGGTGAGACCAGGTCGCTTTGGGATTATAGCAGAGTCACCTGTTCTGGTGCATTCAATGAGCTTGCTTTTGTTTTCCTGGATGTGCTCTGGGGTCGAGTGAGTGCCTTGCAAATTTCAGTGCCTTCAGATCACTCTAAATTGGACTGGAATGCAATGAAAGCAAAACTCAGGCTATTGGAATGGCTAAAGGGTTGGGGCCGAGGTGCGGGAGATCCTGGTTCTAATCCCCATGAGTGACATTGGGCCTGACCCTTTCTTAGCCCAGATGCCTACCATGCAGAAGAGAGGGGAAATGTGTGTACACTGGCTTCCTTGAGATCACCTGAGCCAAGGCAGGACATGAACCCAACTCCAGCAGGACCCCCGTATCTGTGAGGGAATTGGTTTCAACACCCCTCTCCCGGACAGTAGTGAACACTATACATGGCACGGGAAAAAATAAAATAAAATCCAGAAATATGTATTTTCACCAAGTATTACTAGAACTGGCTACTAGAGGGAGCCAGAGACCATGCTTTGTATTCCTTAACAACAAGAATACAGAGCATGATCTCTTGCTCCCTCTCGTGGCCAGTTCTGGTAAATACATGAAAATAGGTATTCCTAGTTTTTTTTTTCTTTTAATATTTTTTAGGTCTTCAGACCTTGCACAAGTGAAACTGTGGATATTGATCCTGTGGATATGGGGGGGGGGTCTTCCTGTAATTAAGAAATAAGCGAAGTCTCGTTTGCATCCACATCCCCACACTTTATTTTTAAAAAGCATCTTCTTTAACTGAAAGAGAACATTATGGTTCTCGTCCTCGAGGTGATGCTAGTCTCTCTTGTGGGTCACTGCCAGGGTAAGAGGAAGAACGAGGCCCTTGGGTTCTCTTCCCAAACAGGGGGAGGTCTTGTCAACCCTGCAACTCCATAGCTTTTTGAGCAACCCCTGTTGGTTCTGTGGTGTGGACTGATTGTTTCCCAAATTCCCCATTGTTGCTCTCATCACCCATTTTACAAGTGGGAACACAGGGCAGGGCCTTCTCGGTGGCTGCACCCAGACTCTGGAACTCCCTCCCACTGGAGGCCAGCCTGGCCTCATCTTTCCTGTCCTTCAGGAAGCAGGCAAAGACCTTTCTCTTCAGGCAAGTTTTCCCTTAGTGGTTGACGATAAACGAGATGGTTTATATTTCGTTGTTTATAAATCTGTTTTTAGTAACAGTTTTACCTGACATTTAACATTTAATATAATGTTATTAATTCTTTTTAAAGATTTGAATAATTTATTTCCTTAACTTTTAATGATAGAAGCCACCTTGGGTCCTTTTTTTAGGAGAAAGCTGGAGTAAAATATTTTAAATACATGCAGTAAAAAAAATAAGTGTTTTCTGATGGCTGTGGGAGGAGCAGAAGCCCTGTGAGATCTTTCTGCTCCTGCTTCAGGAGTGTGACTCTTACCTGTGGCTCTTACCTGTGACAGCACAGCAGCCATGGGTCATGGAGAAGGACAAAGATGAGTTTTGTCCTGATTTGCACATTTCATTGGTTAAAGGCCTTCGGGGTTTCAGGTGTTCTCTGGGGGTGGGTGGGCCCAGATGCACCCGTGCTAGATGCACCTCAGCCTTTTGCTTCTTTCCTATTTGAAAGAGTGCTTGGGGAGCCGGCTTGCAAAATCCCATTCTGGCTGGGGGATTCTGGGCGCTGGAATGCAAGCTCACCCTTTTTTCCTAACCTTTGGTTTAAATGCCTCTCTCTCTCTCTCTCTCTCTCTCTCTCTCTCAGTATGAAAACCAGACCAAGTTGGCCTTGGTTGGGAACTGGGGCACCACCGGCTTAACCTACCCGAAGTACTCGGATGTCACCGGCAAGATTAAGCTGCCCAAGGACAGTTTCAGGCCCTCGTCTGGCTGGGCTTGGGCTGGCGACTGGTTTGTCAGCCCGGAGAAGACGTGAGTCGATTCTTTGTCTGGTTTCGGAAGCGTCCCGGTGGTCCCTTCCCAGAGGCCAACGGGTGCCCTTCCTTTTGGACTGAGAGGGGCTTTGGCTGAGTGAGCAGAATTCACGCGGGGGCTTCTTCCGGCCATTCCAGTCCAGTTGAATCAGCGCTCCTGACCTGGGGCAGGCTCTGGAGCCGTTCCTTCCCCCCCGGGCATGCCGAATCTCTAGCTGGTGGATGTCTTTCCCTTCCCAAAGGCTCTGTGTGTGACAGAGGAATTTCTGTCTACAAGAAATGGGCCTCAACCTGCAGTTCGGCGGTTTGTGCCGGTTCATCCTCTGGACGAATTGGTGTTTGGTGCTTCTCAGCCCCACCTCCTTGGGTGGGTGCCCACTCAGAAGGAGCGCCCCGGCTCCCCTGCTTCGCCTCCTCTGGGTGCTGCCCCTGAGTGGGTCCCTGTTGGAGGAGGCACGGCTGGGAAGCGTCTCTAACCTGTTCGTCCAAAGGACGAACCGGCAGTTCGCGCCCATCTCTATTGTCTACCACGGACATCTCCACATGCTTTGTATCAGAAAGCGGTCCCCTAGATCGATCTGGGCTGGGGGTTGTCAAAGCCGGGGAAGGTGTGAGAACAAGAATATTGGATGGAAGGGCCGTGGCGAAGGGGAAGGAGACCAGGAGGTGATCACCGGAAATTAGGGTCAGTGGGGAAATGCCAGAGCCGTGGAAGAGTGAAGGAAGCATGATGTCTCCCAGTGGGAAGGGCTTTGGGGGGGATCTGCAGAGGACCATAGGGTGAACTCCAGCCCCCCCTTTTTCTGTTCAACACAGATTGTTGTACGATGTCGATGCGGGCCACATGAGCTTCGTGGAGGAAGTCTTTGAGAATCAAGTACGCCTCCCGGGAGGGCAGTGGATTCACATGGCCGAGGCCTACACCGACGTGGTGAGCAACTGCTTCTGGGAGGACGGGCAAGGCAGGGTGCCTTTGGGTTTTTGCAAATCTTCGAAGCCCTCCCTCTGCACTAGAACGGTCTAGTGTTCTTGGGTACTTCAGGCGAAAACAAAAGAAAAATGAAAAGAAATAAAGAAATAAATAAACTCTCCTCTTGGTCACGTTGCCAGTGCAGGGACCTGAGAGACGGGGCCTTCTCTGGGGTGGCATTAAAAATGAAGGAAGGAATAATGGTAAATTCACAGCAACAAATACTCTCTACATTTATGGACTATTATAAAGATTTATATAAATCAGAAGTAACACCGGACATAAACACCAAGAAATTTATACAAACATTACCAATAAACCAAATTTTAGAGAAACATAAAAATTATTTAAATACTGTAGCCCAGTAACGAAAACTGAGATAAATTCAGATATTTAAAAAACTTCAGAAAGGAAAAGCACCAGGCTGTGATGGATCCACAGCTGATTTCTATAAAGTCTGGATGGGCTTCAAGTCATGCAGCCGGGAGCGCATCTGGGAACTCATCCAGCGCATGGAGGATAGTAAGGGGGAGTTGACTGCCAAGGATACGGGTTGAAACTGAGCACCCTTGGAGGAGGAGAAGCGAGCCCACAGGGGATCCTCTCTGTTTTTGTTTTTGTTTTACAGAACGGGGAGAAGGTCCTGCCCAAAGACGAGATCGAGTGCCCCCTCGGATGGAAGTGGGAAGATGTGGAGTGGGACGTGGACCTCAACAGAGCAGTGGACGAGAGAGGTGCGTGGGACTCCTCGCTGTCTCCCCTCGGCGGCTGGCGGGGTGGCACGCTGTCTCCAGAGCGAGCGACTCCTCCGAAAGGACTTATCCTTCAAGCGCCATGGTCAGCTCTGGCAAAACTCCAGGCCAGGGCTTCCTCGAGGGGGTTTGTCTCCCTCTCTGGCCTCCCTCTTTTCCTGCTGCTCCCCACTTTTCCTTTGAACCCCCTTTTATGCCGGTCCTTGAGAAACACTGAAGCCGTTTCCTGCCCAGTCCAACAATGTTCAGCGGCTGATGAGTGCACTGGCTAGACTTTCCCCCGTTGTCAGCGTTGGCTTGAATGGGTGTGTGTGTGTGTGTGTGTTTGAGAGAGAGAGAGAGAGAGAGAGAAACTCAAAACTCCAGTTGGCAGACAAAGGGGAAGATTCCCCCCCCACCGCCATCTTTTTCCCCCTTTTAGCAAGCCCACACGTCTCTCTTTTTCTCTCTCCAAGGCTGGGAATACGGCATCACCATCCCCCCAGACCACAAGCCCAAGGGCTGGGTGCCCACGGAGAAGATGTACCACACCAACCGACGCAGGCGCTGGGTGAGGCTGCGGCGGAGGGACCTGGCTCAAATGGAAGCCCTCAAGAAGGTACGTGGTCCGGACCACGTGCAAAAGGGCGGGAGAACTGAGTGAACGCCGGTTCTGCTATACCTTGGCACTTTCTGGAGGGGCTGGACTGCGGATCCCCATCGTGCACAGAGGCTGAGGAGGGCCGTGATGGGATGGGGAAGGCCCGGGTTTGCTTCCACAAGCCCTCTCTCTTCCATCCCCATCCTGACATCGGAGTGACCCAGATTGGCAGGGCTGTGACCAGAGATTGACCCGGGGGTGTGTGTGAAACCCAGACGGTGTAAAGATGTGGTGCTGTGGAAGGGGGTGAACCACCACCCCTTCGGGTGCACATCTGCCACCCCTGAACACTGGGGCAGAAACAAAACACCAAAGAGGTGGGCTCAGCATGGACCTCTCCCCATCCTTCCACCCTCTCCCAGTGTCTGTGAGTCTCCGGTGGCCCCAGCTGCTAAAATGGCTCGTGGCCACTTGGCCTGTTGTTCTCTCTCTGCTGCTCTGTCGTGTCTCTGTGGCCGAGAGATGGGTGTTTCAGGCTTTCAAAGATAGCACGAGGGTCATCTGAACAAGCACATCATCGTTTCCTCTCTCCTTGGAGTTGTCTCTGGGCTTTGCAAGTTTTTCTAGTGCTTAACGACATCCTGCCAAAGCGGCGGCTGGTGGTGTTCTGCAAGCAGGCTAGTTGGTTTTCATTTCTGAGCCTCCCCTCTGAGAACCCAGGTAATTATGTTCACCCCAGCGCCTTTTCTGCAGTAGGGATTTGTGAGGGTCACTGGGGAAACATTTCGGGGCCACAAAGACACCCCTGTAAAAACCCAGATTGACTACAAAGTGACTTTTGCAGCTTCACGTGATGCTAGCCTTTCTGACGTTTAAAAGGGTGTGACGCATGCTCTGTTTCAAACTGCAGTAGGGCTTCCTCTCACAGGGGGGAGAGAGTCCTCTTTCTTTGGGGCTTGCTTGTCTGGTGAGCAGCTGGAGAGCCGTCGGTCGCGGCAGCGGCAGTGGCATCTTGGAGGGGCAGGGAGACCCCCCCCGCCACCGCAGCCGTTGCCACCACCCTCCTCGGCTGGCACCACGGCCATCCAAAGTGGGACATACGTGCATAGAAACAGGATGTCTGTTTCCAGCCATTTTGCTCTGGTTTGGAAATCATCCTGACTTTCAAGTGCTGTCAGGTCAGTTCTGATTTATCCAGATCCTTGTTCAGGGTTTCCCAAGCAGAGAAGACCCAGAAGAGATCCTTGTTTAGGGTTTCCCAAGCAGAGAAGACCCAGAAGGGGTTTCCCCCTTCCCATCTTCCAGGGGGTGCCCTGGGGCGGCTGGGCAGCTTTTGACCAAGATAAGCCCCCCAGTAAACGTCTTTACTGACTGCACGTTCTCTGCAAATGTGTCGTTCTTGCCCTGGAGACAAGCTGTTGAGGAAAGAGGCTGTTCCCTTCTGGTCCTTCTCTGCCCAGCCTGAAGCCTCTGGCAGCTCCTTTACACGGGGGGGGGGGGG